AGCTTTGATTGTCTGAATGCTGACTTGAAGTCGACCTGGCACGCAGCCCGCGATTCCAAGTGCCGCAGCGCAGCATCTGTTTGCTCAGCTGCTGGAAGGCTACATTTAGGGATTATACAGGGGTTATATAGGGGTCATATAGGGAGTAATGCAGGGGGTATATAGGGGTCATATAGGAATTATATACGGGTTATATAGTCGAAATGTAAATGATCGCTTCTGGTTCACAGACTGATGGCAGGGTGCTGTGCGTCTTGTCCTCTTCAATGCGGAATCACACACAGTGCTCCATATTGCATCAGGGCATAATGCTGGACATGCGTCTCAGGTGCCGTCACGTATGCTTACAAGACCTGGCGGATTGCGACGCAAGCTCTTGGAAGGCAAGTGGCAAAACAAACGCAGGTGCTCAACAACCTTGCATGTTTATTACACGGTAGAATGTTGCAGAAGGGAGAATAAGCTTTCTAGTGCTAGTTTCCATTTCATTTTCCATTTTGTCATTATTGGGCGAATACCCCGCTCTTCGCATTGGCTCTTCAACTTCCTCCGTGCCTGTCATTCCCAAGCAACTTTGCTAGGCCACATATCAACTGTCCCCGTAGGCACGGGCTAGCCCTCGACACATCTGCTCCCTGGTCATGGCATTCAAGATGTGTATTCACTTGCAGGCTCGCAGAAATTCACACAGTTCACAAGGTAGCCCAGCATGAGGCAGAGGCTTATGCAAGCTGTCCGACCTATGCAGGCAGACGGCATGAAATTGGACCAGTCCTTTGCCATTGTATCACAGCGTCCATGGAGGCAGGCATGTTTGGTAGTTTCCCTAAATAAGGGGACCCCAATCTGGACCCAACTATGCTATAGTCCTTATTATGGGGACCCTCAAAATGGTACGATTTTTTTTGAAGCTCTCATTTGCATCTGCTCATTGCAAGTGGGGTTACAGTCTGATCCCAACTTGAGGAGTCCTGGTATATAAGCTATACTCTAAACTCCTTTAAGGGGTATATATAGGGTATTATACAAGGGAACTACTATAAGGGATATTAAGGGGATATAAGGAGCTTAGACAATGGCTCATATGGGGTTTAGAGTAATGATTGCCCTCCCTTAGGTGCTTGCTCGCAAGGCGGTGATGCCGAGCTAGCCCCATCCGACTGAAGACTCGACTTGGGCTACTTGGAATGTGTTGAGCAGTAGGCAGCACATGCCTTCCGTTCTTGTCGCAACATGTTAGCCGCTTCAGCTGCTCGGACAGGAATGCATATTGAGGCTTTTGCAGCATTTCCTTAGATGCTGGTCTTGACGAGCGGCAAGCTGATGTCGTAGAATGTGTGCGCATGAGCTGATCCCGCTCATAGTTTGGACTCATGAGCAGCAAAGTTCACGCTTAGGCCATGGTGCATGTGAGCCAAAGCCCTTACTGCTGAACTGTCCACGCGAGCTGCCAGCATCCTGCCGAGAAGTAGGATGCCTGTCCAGATGGGTACGTTTTTGGGTTTCTTGGACCAATTTAGGGTTTCAGGGTTTGGGAATATGGGAATATAGGGGTATAATGGCTTCTATGGGGATAATGGACAAGAACATGGAAACCATTATTTATAGGAGCAGCAGGGAGACGTGATATGTGTCTGGCATATTCAAGCTGCACCTGCAGCTTTCAGTGGTTCTTCTTTACAGACTTGCTGGGATTACCTTGGGGTACCTGGGGCACAATCTTACGTCTTCTTGTACCAGAGGAATTAGAGGGAGGCCGCCTGAACTTACCTCATTCCTGTTTTCAATCCGCCTCCATAGTAGGAGCTGCCAGCAAGCTTGGCATGCTTGGCTTCATGTTGCCAGGGATACAGCAAAACCAGACACTGGCCCACACCGGTTTCTCACAATTGATCGAACACTCTAAACCCTAACCTTTACCAAAACGCCTAAAAAATGAACCTTCACCCTAAACCCCTAAAGCCTTAACCCCTCAACCCCTAAACCCAAAGCAAATCAAATCCCAGGTGCACGGCATCCCTGAACTGATTTTTCTCCCCCGGCGCCGGCCTCAGACCCGAATGGTTCTGGGTTCCCTAAGAGCTTGCACACCAAAGGAAAGCAACATGGAAGCTACTATATTATAATAGCATATACACATGTACATATTAGGGGTTATATTGGGATAATGGAAAAGAACATGGAAACTACTATATTAGGATAGGGTGCACATAGGGGTTAAATAATTGGTATAATGGAAAGGCATATGGAAACTACTTTAGGGTTTTGGGTTTAGGGGAGTTTCGCAAATAGTCCGTGTATCTTCCTTGTCAAGGATCCCATCATCAAGAGGTCCTACCTAAACCCTAAACCCCCTAAACCCAGATCATCCCTGTGTCCCTACCCTGAGCCCTTAACCCGAAATTCGAAGAAAATCCCAATATCATCCCGCTATACCCTTCTGGAGCCGCATTTTGAGAATTTTGAGATATCTAAACCCTAAACTTTGGATGGGGAGATAGAGCCACATGGCGGCCTCAGGGTTTAGGTTTTAGGGGCTTTAGGGTTCAGGGTTTAGTTGCTTTAGGGCTTAGGGGTTTAGATCTAGATCCCAAACCCTAAACCCTAGATCCTACCTAGCCAATGATGGCTTTGGGGTTTAGGGGCTTCGATCTAAACCCTAGACGGTAGACCCTATATAACCCCTGATGGCTTTAGGGTTTAGGGGTATTCAGAGGCTTAGTGTTGAAATTGCTGAGATCAGTTCCTTCATCTGAGGCGCTCCCATTTCTCATGAGTAGGCCGCGCATGGTTGATAGCGGTTAGTCAAGGGATTTAGGGTTATGTTGGGGCTGCCTTGGGTTTTTCTTGGGATAGTGGAAAAGAAAATGGAAACTGCTATGCTCAGAATTCTGCTTACCAATTCAGGCTGTAAGGACGCACATAGGCAAGCCTCTGGTAGCTTGATGCAGGCGGTGTTTGGTGCGGACGCTGACAGTAGCTGCATAAGTAGCAGTATGTATCTCATGTAGTTGGATTGTAATACACCTATATGAGCAACCGTCAATACTCG